AGGCCAGATTCACTCCTCTCGGGTTAAAGGGTTAGGTTTGTGGGTCCTACCCCCTCCTCTCAGGCTAGGGACAGAAATGGTGGGTTCGGTGTGCGGGACAGGGCTATCAGCAAGAGAGATGGGGGGTGCAGGATCTGGGCAGGAGGTGGAGTGCAGGAGGGGATGAGGGTGCAAAGTCTAGGTGGGAGATAGGGTGTAAGAGCAGGCTGGGAGTAGGGTGTCTGGTCAGGGAAGCGGGCAAGAGCAAGGCAAGGTGCAGTGTGTGGCCAGGAGGGAGGGTGCAGGAGCAAGGGTGGGTGCAGGGGCGGGCGGGGGATAAGGTGTCTGCCCAGGGCTGAGGGTGCAGGTATGGGAGGGATGCTGGATCTCAGCCAGGGAGGCGGAGGGGAAACAGAACCCAGCCAATGGGAGAAATGGGGAAAGCCTCCAGGCAGCGCACCCGCATGCTGTTGTTCCCCAGCCAGGGGAAGGGGAGAGCTTATTTCTCACAAGCAAGATCGTGCAGTGAGGCTCGGGGCTCTCTCCATCCCCTCGTCAGTGAGATGCCAGCACTGGTGCCCCAACCTGCAGTCTAGGAACCACTGCTGAAGACTAAAGGCATGGTAAATATATAGTTTAAAAAAAAAAAAAAAAATATCTTGTGAGAATCATTTGAGCAATAGGCTCTCAAGATTCTTGGTTTCAAGGGATGCCATTTCATGGTCACAAAAGTAAAAAATGGCTTATTTTCTTGACATTAAGACTATGTATCAGAAAACCTTCTCTCTCAAAAGAAGGTATTTAGTAGTGTTATGGTAACAGTCAAATTTATCATTAGACTAAGCAAATCCTTTGTTGACCTCAATGATAATTATGTCAGTTTCAAGCAGATAAAATGCATCCGAGTATATACAAATAAACATAGCAAGTCATACAATCACTTATTTGGCTCAACTGTGAGCAGCAAGGACAGTGTTCAGCTTTCCTGGAGTCAGCTCTGATTGCTGACAGATGCCCATCTTTTAGCAATGATACATCCTGTCATATGTACCTTCGCTCAAAACTGGATTAAATTTAAAATGAAAGTCAAAAAAAGTTTCAATGGTGAGTAGACGAGAAGAGACTTTTAGTTTCTTGAATAAGACAGTGAGGGAAAGAAGAACACACTGAGACATTCTTATCCTGTTTTCGAATCTCTTCAGATTATTTGCTAGTTTTAGACCAACTTCCACTGAACTGATGAGAGTAAGAAACCCTATTTTCCAGTTTGATGGAAGAACACTTGGTTCTTTCAGAACAGAAATGTAATAATACTCAACACAATTAAGCATCATCATCAGACACACAACAGATTGGACTTCCCTGTTCCGGCATCCTTGGGATCTAGCTGTTCTGAACCAGGGAGTTTACCAGACCAGGGGAGGGTCAATGCTCTTCTGTTAGCTGCCCACACCCAGATTCTCTCTGGGCTGCGTGGCTCCCTACCCTGATGCCCCCCCAGAGTGCTGCCAGTCCCGCGGCCATGAGGGTTTCCCAAACATGGCTGGACTTCCCTGAGGCACTTGCAGCCCTGCTGCAGCAGGGGGTTTCCTGACCATGTCCAGGGCTGCCTGACTGCCCTGCCGCTGCTAGTGTTCCCTGGCCAGGGCTGGGGCTCCCCAGACTCTGCTGGCCCAGTCAGGGCGCTCAAGCTGTCTCCCATTCCCAGCCTCCAAAGCTCTTTGGTTTAGCAACATCCGCAGTCCTCCCCCAGATCATGACGTTGCCGGATCAGACAGTCCCAGATTAGGGAGGTTAAATCTGTATTATTAATCAGCTATAATGTAATTCAACAACAGATGCAATATTAAACTTCATGTATATTACTAAACACAGAACCTCTGCTGGGTTTCAGAAAAAACAATCAGGATTCCTCTCTTTCCCATCTCTTCTCCCCTATTTCTAGTCTTAAACTTAAATTGTAATTTTTATTCCATTTGCCTTCAAATATTATTGTCAGTCAATATCTAGATGTTTCCTGCACCATCTTGCTTCTGTATTATTGTTCTTTACTCAGATCATGTGTTAGTATGACTTCTGTAAAATAACGTGACTAACTGGTTAACATTTTGTACAATATGAATATACCTGCACACTTTTTTAGAAAGATTAATATTTTATTTGCAATATGAATGATTTTTACAATGTTTAGCTAAGATAACAATTTACCGTTGAGAAGAAAGTTTGTAAGGCAGGAAGAAGGTCGGCTATTTACATCTACAGGTGAGATTCTGTATGCACCAGTGCAATAATGCAATTCTGAAAAATAAAAATGTAGAAAGATTTATAGCTTAGTTACTAAAATATAATAGAACACACTACAAAGAGGTCCTGAAACTACTCTCTTACAAAATACCTAAATTAGCTGAAGTGATTTGTTTGTGAAATTTCTTTGAAAGAGGAATGGAAAAAATCCTTGCAGAGCAATCTTACTCGAGAATTAGAATATAGTTACAAACTGATGATGCAAACCACAGAAAAGTAATGTAGGGGAAAATACATTATCTGACCAGAAAATTACTGAACACTTTTAGCCAGCAACAAAATGTTTGCTTGGTAGAGAGTAGGGATGTCAGCATGTAGACAACTACACAATTAAGTGTTAAGCCTAAAATTATCAGTTAATCCCATCTACTCCGCCCCCCCCACTTGCTGCCCCTGTATAAGAGGCAGCAAATGGGGGAGGCAGGAGCCGGTGCCCAAGAGGAGTCAGTTAAAAGCCAATTTCCCATGAGCACCAGATCTGCCTACCCCGCTGCTGCCTCTGATAGAGAGGCAGCAGCGCAGGGTTGGTGGGGTCTCTGGCCTCCCCCCCACTTGCTGCCACCCACAGAGGCAGTGGGGGAGAGGAGGAAGGGAAGGCAATAGCCAGTGATGGGGGGAGCTGGTTTAAAAGCCAGTTCCCCCCAGTCCTGGTGTGCCACCTGACCCTTTGTGCATTGTTGCTTCAGGCCCCCTGCTGACAGGGGCTGCTGCCACCCTGCACTGCTGCCTCTGGCAGCAGGCAGCCAGTCTGTGTGGAGAGTTGGTTTTTAAACTGGCTCCTCTTGTAGACTGGCTCCTGTGTGCCACCCCGCGCTGTTACCTGATAGAGCGGCAATTGTATACGGTTGCAGGGGGACCCTCGAAAGTGTGGCTGGAGGCACACTGATTGTCAGCCTCACCCCCGGAGACTATCAAATAGTTATGTAACTGCTAAAATGTAATGTAGTAACACAATTATTCAATTACACGCTATCTAACATCCCTAGTGTAGAAGGAAAAAAAATCCTGCTTTTCCTTCTTTCCTATATAAATAAGTCGCTGATTAGCCAGCATCATGAGCATTCAATATAACAAAATACTGACTTCACCCATATAGTGGCAATAGAGGTTGCAGCCTATTTATAGGCCAATGAAGCAACCTGTGGCAATAGACAGAAGTATAGGAAACAAAAAGGAGAGGGGCAGTAGTGCAATCACTCAGGAGTAATATTTTTGAGATTTGGATTCCTTTTGGAGGGGAGGGGGGAGAAACCTAGTACAAGACAGAAGGTGTTTCGCAAATATTTTTACAGAAAATACAGTACCTACCAACACTGTTTGTTCGTGGTGTACACCATTTTAATGTTACAGTTTCTTTAAATGTACCCTCTCTGCTATTTGCACCCAAATGATTATCACCTGCAACAGCAAGTTAGAGAAAATGCACCATTACAAATTAGTCAGTAGCCTTCAGTTTATTACATTACAGAATGCAAAAAATCTAGTCATTATAACCCTTATATAGATATAGGATGAGGCTACACAATCCATTCTATCATTTGGAGAGAGAGTGTTTATATACAAAATGTCTTACTTGAATCTGAACTTTATTTTGAAAAGAGATGTAAGCTCCTGGAACTGTTTTATTAGTCTGTCCCCTTGTGCCAAGGTATTTTTTGTTTATTGTCCATAAGCTGTCCCTGACTTGTACTAAAAATAACAGTGATAGAATCTTAAACTTAAATTGTGAACATCTACCTTAATTTTTGTACATTCTATCAAATCTCTCTTCCCTCACTGCTTCAATTAAAGATAAAACTGCCTAACATTTTTTGATCAAACATCACTCTCAAAAGTATTTGAGAAAATGTAAAAGATAATTGGGTAATTTATCCTTCATAATAACCTATGGTAATTCAATCTCTCTTTCTAAAACATCAAAAACAAAACAAAAAAATATTTTCCAAGTACCCCACCCATTTATTCCTAGGCCAGATGGTTCTACGTGACGAAGGGTAGGATATCTACTTCATATTTTTCAATATTTTAAAGGTGGAAGTTTGTATCTATAAAAAAGTTAACCCAACTGTGGCCTTACAATATTTGTGCATTAAATTAGAGCTTGGACACCCATACCATGTTTTTAGACAACAAGTATTCTATGTGGCACAGCTGTTCATACTAAACTTGTTTCTAAAATGCAATGGAGTTAGACTAAATTTTATTAGAGGATTGTAAGAGATGAAGCCAAAAGCTAAAGATCATACTGTACGAAGAAAAAACTGTAGGAGAATATGGTTCAGTTCTCAAATGATCTGCCTCAATTTTAAGAGTTCAGTCTAATACATTGAACTTACCAGTTGTCAGCTACAGGAATTTTAATCTAGCATACCCAGATGTACATCAGAGATTATGATACTTTCATATGCTCATCTGATTGTCTTAAATTTATGGAAACAAATCTGTGAGTCTGTGAGTGAAAGAGCTGACTACCATTATCATTTAGACATTGACATACAGCTACCTGGATGGAGAATACTTCCTACAAAGTCAAAGAGAACTTGGCCTGTTACAGATCCATGCCGTGTACTATACAACTACATTCTACTTGCAAACCTGAAAAGTGGTACATGAAAGATACTTCCAGATCAAGTAATTCCCTGAAATCCTAAAAGTCAGAAAAGCATTCTGGAAAACACAAACAGATTTGTCACTAGCCCAGAAATGGATCTAGTTCATAATATTTGATGCTGCCACTGCAATGAAGAAAGGCTGTTGTAGGGCTACCTGACCTTAATAATTCAGATACATTTTACAACTAGTTGTGGGTAAAATTTTTGAAACTATATAAATGACTGGTGGTTTAAGTTGTTTTAGAAAGTGGAACTTCAATGCCTAAGTCAGTTAAGCACTTCTGAAATGTTACCTCCTGTATAGGATTTCAATATTCTATGCAACACCTATAAGCTTATGGGGCTGGGAATGTATTTAGTTAGCTAGTTTTTGGGGGATCCATGAATCAGAGTTTGTCACGGTAACATTAATAAACGTATCTTTAATACAAACAAAAGTACAGTCAATTTTATACTACATTTAATTTATGTTTCAAAGACACAGCAACAACTGGAGTCTTTCAAAAATCTGTCCTAAGCAGTACATTTATTTTGCAGCATGAAAATATGCTGAACAATTTTTCTAAATTCAGTAAGAAAGTTGAAATCCTGAATAATTGTTTAAATATTTATTTTAACAACAAACAACAACAACAACAGTGTTCAGAAAGGGGACAGTAGATTTTGTAAGGTTTGGCTATATTGTTGTGTAATGAAGAGATTGTGCCCACAAACCTGTGAGGTCAAAGGGTCATATATAACGTGAAAACAAAATGGCGCAGAAATGGACAGTAATGGTTATCCACAATTTTGTTGGAAGGAATAGAAAATCTCTCAAACTCAAAATATGAAAGTCATTTTAAACTTTTTTCACTCACACGAAGATTTATATATAACAGGTCACCTTTCAGCTCTCAACATGTATAACTTGTCTATGGTTTTATAAAATTGCTTTTGTCAGTTCTAAGTCTTTAGTTTGAGACACTAATCAAACACTTTGCAGTAAATTAACCCATGCAACTAGGCAAAAAAAGAACTCTTTGCTCTCACCCATTATTTTAGATTTTTCTCCTTTTGATACTGGTTAGTCTCTGTCAGTTACATTTTAAATAAATGACAACCACTCTGATATGAAATCCTCCCTCTTGCTCAAATATTCCTGAATTTTTGTTCAAGCATCCGGTCTCTTAATTCATGAACTGGCATTCTTAGATCCATGTGACAACTGACATCCCTCTGGTGCAATCAAAACACACACATTCTAACTGCATGTTTCATTTAGTTTGATGTTTATATAGGTTATCCTTGTCTTCATTATGTCTTCTCTTTTAAAAAAATAAATCAGTTAAACCAAATATTCCAGGACCAATTCATTTTACATTATACCTCAAAAATTTGCAAAGAAAAATTACAATTAAAAAAAAAATCTGTCTTTAATTAGTTAAATCTTATGTCCTTAGTAAATTAAAGTCTGCATTAATTTAAAGCCCAGATCCTGAGCTTTTTGAATGATCATAAACAGTTTTATAAAAGTATTTTATTATAGACATTTTCAATTCTTAGATTATTACTTACATTTTTACATTTTTTTCCTACTTACCACTTTTTAGAAAGTCTACGTGTGCATCTTTGTGATGAAGAAGTTCAACATCATAATTGGCAGATGTGTTAGCATGTTGTTCTTCCTTTAAATAAAAAGGAAATAAAAAAGAAACCAATTACATTTTGTTTTTATTTTTTAAAATGGAGAACGATATTCTACATTTTACCTTTCAGAAAAAAAAAAAAATTCCATGTGAATCAGACAACAAGGGATTGCAACGTTAAGGGATCTGTTTGCTTTCTGATCTATTTAAAGATGCAATAGCCTGTTTTTCTTTAAATATATGGTATTTCTATTTATATAAATGGCATACATATGCATTATTTATGCCATAAAGATGTATAAAACACAGATAAATAACACAGACAAATTCTAGTTTTTCCCCCCCTTTCCTTTTCTTCTGCAGCATTAAAAAGATACCTAGTATTGTCTTACACACAGTTAAAAGAAACAGATTAGGAAACTGTTATAGTTTCCTAACCAGCACCTGGTAATTCTCTCTACCACAGTCTGTTGGCAGAATCAATTTTATCTTTGGAGAACTTCTTTTTCATCTGAAATAACAAAAGTAACCACATGTTCCTGCAGTTGAGAAAAAGAAGCTATTCAAACTGCAGGCATGAAATTAAAGACTGGTTATGTATTAAAAGAAGGACATAGCATCTTTAAACAGACGCAGCAGATCAGCAAACACCATAAACAGTAAATTAGCAAAAACAGAATAGTAATCTTGGGGGATTTATTTTGAGTAAATAGTATGCCAGGGAACCAAACATATTCTATTCCCCCCCAAAAAGACAAAGACTGGAGAAAGAGGCATACCAGTAGCACACAGGGCAATAAGTTACAAATAAGGTATTTGTGAAACTAAAATAAAAAAATTACGTTTATACTGTCATTCATGTGAAAGCTGAAAATTATCAAAAACTCAAGTAAGTAAACTGACACTAACTCACATCCATACACTACCATTATTTATTCATTTTAAAGAAGTGAGCACTGAGTAATAATGTTGACACTTATTTTTTCTTTTGTGCATTCTTTAGTTTTGCTAATAAAAACTCTCCTCCCTTTTGATGGCAGTGCTCTCAGTCTGGCAGCAAAATGTAATTGAAGCTCGGGGGTTCCTACTTACTAAAAGCCAATTAGAATATTTAATTACAGTAATTGTCATCCCACTGGCAATGCAAATTAATTAAAAATAAATGAGATGAAGGCACGTAGATAACTTCTAGGGGGAAAAATTATTTAATATCTTCCATTACTAGACACACAATTTTCCTCTCCGCCTCTTGGTTAAGCAGCTCCACACCAGTTGAAAAACCATTATTCTTGGTCAGAAACTATTAGTTACAAACACCTTTATGTTGGTTGGGCATGAAAATGAAACAGAGGAAAAAAGACTCACTAAGCCACTAAAATGCACAAAGGTCAAAAATATCTAATGAATGTAATTTTAAGAGACAAAAGAATCACAGACAAAGTAATTTGAAGCAAACAAGATTATACTTATATAAAATAATATGAAGTGGACTCAAATAGCACTTGTATTTGCCTAATTGAATTGCTGACATAGCAATACAGCATTTTGTTCTGTGATCCTTCTTTTTTTCCTTCTTAAAATGTACTAACCTGGTCACAGACATTGAATGTGGGCTAATAAAAAAAACAGAAAATATGATATGGAGAGAAAAACAATGTAAAAATTCAATTAAAATAAATATTAATTTTTCAAAACAATTTAAAAGTGATGCAGCTACTTAACCATAAAAATATAGATACTATCTTACCTTCATCGGGATATTAGTTATTGTGGTTGAAGCCAGATCAAAGTGTTGCTGTACTAAAACATTCAGTTTTGTAGCCAGATGCCGTCCAGCACGGACACTATGTACTTCGCTGGTTAAGACAGGAGAAAGCTTAAAAAAATGGACATAGACTGTATAGTATCAGTGTTTACTGAGATCATATAACATACAAATCACTCAAAATCTTAAGCTTAAAAAGATATGCATCGCCAAGTTCAACAGAAAATGCCATGCGTTATGGTTTCTAAGAAGGAAAAAGGATATAAACATTTGTAAAGTCATCTTAGTGCTATGATGATCTTGGTTCAGTCATCATAACTGACTTAGACAAACATGCTGAACACCAGAGACTTGTTAAATTGTGACTCTTTCCAGCCAACAAGAGGCCACCTCAGTGCATGGAACTGCAATCCAAGAACTTCTGGGTCCTAATCTCAGATCTGTCATAGGGCCCGAGGTAAGTCTATCTCCATTTCCCAGTCTGTAAAGTGGGGACAGTAGTCTTATCTGCCTAACTCACATGTGTGTTTCACAGAGACTTCTGAAGAGGTAAATGCTATGAGTCATGAGTTGATATAAAGAATTGCTAGGAAGTCATGTCTAATTTTCCTTGCCTAGAGGACTGTATTACAGACGGGAACTTCAGGATACGGTGAACGATCAAGAATACTTTCTGCATTCCACACTTACTACACTATACATGGGGTATATGAAGTTTGTAAAGCATTGTGAAATTCTGTGGGAGCTTAACTATTATATTTATTTTTATTCCTACAAGAGATACAGAGTTGGATTTATTTCATGTTCAGAGTGACAGTTTAAAAATAATTCTATGCGCATTTGATAATGCACATAACGGCACTATCATATCAGAAAGGTTTCTTTAAAAAATATGCATTTGCCTCAGTTACAGTCTTATAATTATTAAATCAGAGCAGGACTGAAAACAGCAGAGAACAATGGCATATGCCATTTGGTGCATGTGTGGTTTCTGATCTAGTCACTACAAATATTTAGATTTCCCAACTGCATGCATTGTAAATAAGTAATATGAAAATAACAATGTACAGAATAATTTTAACTGTCACAATATTATTTATAACACAATTTCTTTCTTTTATTGGTATGTGAATAGGTACTAAAGGATTTTATCAACTGCTGATACTGCGAGCATGCTTGCAAAATCACCCCGTTGGAAGCACATATTCTTTCCACGGACATTTAATTAAAAAGATACAAGTCCATTTACAAAGTTTAAAATGTTTAATAATATTCATGCTTTGGCAGGCTATCAAACCCAGCAACAAAAATTTGTGAGAGGAAGTAGAGGTTCCTCGGGGCCAGTAGTGCGTTCTTCCGTGGAGACAGAAGATCCCAATGACATCAGCCACACCATTACACAAAAGTCTTGTTTTTCAATTATGCTCTAATCCTCCAAAATTAAAACTAACGGTTCTTTCAAGAGGTCACTAAAAAATTTAATCTGCAAAATCGGCAAGGTTGAATGGCTTTACTACGAAGTCGTCAGTTAGCAAAAACAACAACAACAAAACAACCCTCAAGCAGGCTGAAAAAATGGCTATCGTAACTCCATGTCAACTGCAGAAGGAAAAACACACAGAACACAGCAATAACATTTCTAGGTCACCTTTTTCAAAAGTTGCCACTTATGCCTTCTCCTTTACAGATAGTTCCTCAGGGTGCATCTACAAAGCTGGGCTTAACTCTAAATAATATATGCAAATTGAGCTATGTCAATTGCATAGCTGATTTCCAAATTGGGAGTGTCTACACAGCACTTATTTCAAAATAGAGCACTCTTCCTCCCACTTCCCTTACTCCTCGTACAATGGGGGTTACAGGAGTTGGAGTAAGAAGTTCTCCAGCTTGACAGTATTTTTACATTTTTAAATAACTGCCTGCTGTATAGACACGGACTAAGTTATTTTGAAATAATGCTAGTTATTTCAAAATAATGTTGCTGTGTAGATGTACCCTCAGAGACAAGATACTCAAAACATTACTAATACATTTTCAACATGTGTTTGTCTACCAGAGCCAGGAATACATTACAAACATATGTCAATGTAACTATGTCACTCAAAAGGTGTTAAAAAAATACACATCCTGAACAACAGTTATACCAGCCTTAACCCTCATGTAGAGAGCACTATGTAGAGAACTTCTCCAGTCAAAACAGCTGTTGCCTCTCAGGAAGTAACAGAACTCTCTCCTGTCAGCATAGGAGATCTCCATTTAAGCACTAAAGTGGTGCAGCTGTGGCGACGTAAGGTTTTAAGTGTAGATCTGCCCTAAGTTAGTTTGTAACACTTGCGGTATCTTTTTTTTTTTTAAAGCAATTTAAGCTCCTTACCTCTTTTTTAAGGCGATCTGAAACAAGGCTATCTTCACCAACTGGATAGGTGTGGATTAATACCAATTCACACTTCTGGATCTGCATGAGGCTTAGAAATCAAATATTTTATTTAGTAGGTCAGCAATGCAGCTATGTTCCACACAATACATGCCAGCTTTTTTCCATGCAAAACAAGCTTGATTTCCTGAACACACAACATTCTTTTTTCAATTTGTTTCTCAAATTTTGACAAAGATAGCAGCTTTCCCCCCCCGCCGCCCAAAAAACCTATTTGAAAAAACTAAAAGCAATTTCTAACCACAGAAGTTTTTGCAAGCTAACGTAACAAGCACATAAAACTTGTAAGGTGGCAGGGGGCTCCCTGCGAGAGGGGCCAGAGAACACGGTCTGCCAGCTATATACATTGATCAAAGATTTAATCATCAGCAGCATCAGAAGTTCTTCAGATACAGTAGTTACAGAGATGTTTTCTACAGCTAGGCTAAATTATCTTCCTTGCCCTACCTCACTGCTTTAAGAGATGGTTGTTGTTGTTCGTCCATCGTATTCGAAGAGGACCTTGACATCTAACGGGTTGTGGACTGTCCACGGTGTGTCCGCAAATGGCTGATAAGGCCGATACGGGCACGGAATGTTCTGCCACATGTCGGGCAGACATGTGTGGGCACCACTGTTGCAGCTTTTGCAACTCTGGCTTTACGGAGTGCTCGCTTCTCTTGTGCTATGGTTGTCCTTCTGGCTTCAGATGTTTGACAGCCTTGGTAGATCAGCGTGTGCCATGTTGATCGGTCTTGTGCCAGGGTCTCCCAGGAGGTGGTGTCAATATCCAGGGACTTGAGAGAGGCTTTAAGCGTATCTTTGTATCGCTTCTTTTGTCCCCCGTGCGATCGCTTCCCTTGAAACAGCTCACCATAGAAGAGCTGTTTAGGGATGCGATGATCTGACATCCTTGCAACATGGCCTGCCCAGCGTGTCTGAGCTTTCATCAGCAGGGTGTAAACTGACGGCAGACCTGCTCTAGAAAGGACTTCTGTGTCTGGCACCTTATCCTGCCACCGGATCCTCAGAAGTCTGCGGAGGCAAATCGTGTGTAAGTGGTTCAGTTGCCTAGCGTGCCTCCTATATACAGTCCAAGTCTCACTGGCATACATCAGGGTAGTTAACACTACTGCTCGATAGACTTTAAGCTTTGTAGCAAGGCTTATTCCACGGCGGTCCCACACTTTGGTCAGCAGTCTGCCGAATGCAGAGTTTGCCTTGGCGACTCTGCAGTTGACCTCGATGTCAATTGTCACTGCGCGGGAGAGGGTGCTGCCAAGATATGTAAATTGGTCCACTGCTTGCAGCTTTTGTCCCTTCACTGTGATGGTGGGCACTTGATGCTGAGCTTTTGGAGCTGGCTGGTGCATCACTTCGGTTTTCTTTGTGTTCTCATCAACACAAAGCCTCACTTAATACTAGCTCTCTGAAGAGATAAAGCTGTGTGACTTATAACATCAACCATCCTTGGTAGTTTGAGATTCAGAACAAAAATTCAAGCTGCCAAGTCGTCCTGAATGCATTCAATAGTATGTGTACCAAACTCAGGACAGACTCTTAAGAATGAGGCATAAACCCCATTGGTGGCAAATTCTATCCTAAGATTTCACCCAACAAGTTATCAACTTCTCAGGCATTATAACTGACTTAACGTGGTGTCACATACAGGCCCCTTTGTCTTGCCACCTAGGCAAGCTACCTTCGTGAAATATGCAAAAGCGACAAGGAGTCCTGTGGCACCTTATAGACTAACAGATGTATTGGAGCATAAGCTTTCATGGGCAAAGACCCACTTCATCTGATGAAGTCTGTCTTTGCCCACAAAAGCTTATGCTCCAATACATCTGTTAGTCTATAAGGTGCCACA